GAATTCATCACAGATGGTTCCTGGACACTTGTCACATTCACTTGCGAGATGATTTTGAAGTTCATCTGGTTTACCACGTGCCCAAATTTTTTCACAATAATTACAGGTAGCTGCATAATGTCCCCTACTACTAGAAACGGTTTTATTAAAATGGTTCCATACTTGCATCTCAGGTCTTCCCGAACTGGATTTTCTGGTAATAAATGTGGATGTAGAAACATCATCTTCAGAAGAATTCATAATAAGATTTAATTTTTTTTAAATTGTAAATAAAAAATTGATTCTTTGGAAGGTGAATGAGTTTATTTTTTGTGTTAATTCTTTATATTTTTTGTTAACAGTAAATAAAAGAAAGTGAATGTAAAAAGATTTTTTTTTTGTTAATTGTAAATAAAAAAATTTTGTTACTTGAAAAAAGAAAAGAATCAAAAATTTATTTTATTGTTTTATTAATAATCTCGAAAAAAAAATTCACATATATTAATAATTCAAAGAAATTTGATTGGTAAATAAATAGTGATTAATAATAGTAATGTTAAGAGTTTTACAACCATTTTTTGCAATCAAGATTTCCAAATGCGTATTTTTTCATCTTGCGTCACGAATTGCGTCTTGCGTCATGAATTTCGTCTTGCGTCGCGAATTGCGTCTTGCGTCAACGCATCAAAATTATGATTGGTGACGCATAATTTTGACCACATGTATATTGATAATCACACAAATTTTGAGTCACATGAATTAAGTACAACGTGATACAAGCCCTTTAAATTTCACACTGGGTGAGTCTAATCATAAATAGGATATGGGATGAAATTCGAGTATGGGGAGCATGATAATAATTTTTGGAGAATAAAAAAATGACTACTCAATTTCCAAAAGATTCTATAATTGATGATTTAAAATCACTTGTAAAAGAACCTGATGAGACCGTAACGGAAAATTACATTGTTGATTTTTTAAATTCACGATTTACAGAATTAGAAGACTTGGAAAACATTAATTCCATATTAGATGTTTTAAATGATGAACATCAAGTTTTGAATGAAAAGGTATGCCAAATACACCACATGTATTAAATTATAATGGCAATAACCATGGTTTAATTGAAATCAATTTTATTCAATATTACTAAAAAGAAATATCAATGACATTCCCAAGTTTATTCAAATACATAGTGAAACATCAGAAACTTTAAAATATTCCCTTTCCTCGTTTAATGCCACAGTAACAGAACTTGAAAACCTTCAATCCACAAGATTGGAATTGGGTGATTGGCTGGCATCCCAATTCGAAATATTTGATAATGGACATTTTGGTTCAAAAAAAAAAGATGATTTGTTGGATGAATTAATCAAACTACAACGTCAAGTTTATGGATTAGGAAAATCCAAAAAATACATGAAAATATTGGTAATAGCTGATGAATTGAGGTAACTTACATATTAGTATAAATATAAATATATGCTATAGAGATAGATAGATAGATATAAAGCTGTACTAATTTTGAGTTGAATTGAATTTGATCATTTATAGCAATCAAGCAAAACAATTGGTCGAAAAGTCTCCACAAAAAGCACTTGTACCTTACACTCAACTTATGCAACTTGCACATAAGATTAAATATAAAAATGAACAAGTGGGTTACTCAATAAAAAATTTAGATGCTTTTTTGCAACAAAATGTTGATGCTTTATGGGATGATATGAAGAGTAGATTATCAAAGTGCGTTTTTAATTTATTTATTATTTTATTAAAAAAGAATTCCACTTTTATCACAATATAAATGAAAAGTTTTTACATATATTAATTTAGAAAATTTCAACAAACACTTGATTCACTTAACTGGCCTACTCCAATATATTTATCTGATAATTCAATCACCTCTGATAATTTATCAGCATTTATCAATGCTTTTATGGATTTACTTATATTACAACAACCAATTGAGTCGATGACTGATCCAAAGTATTTAGAGCCAGGCTCTTCTTCTAAAGAAAACAGCAACAGTAACAATAATAGTAAGGCAGAAGGACTTCCACCTCTTATACCAATTCAAATAATGGTTGATCATTTGAAAGTGAAATTTAATTTTCATTTTAATTCCAGAAGAGCAACAAATCGAATTGATAAGGTATATTGTTATAATAATAATAATAGTAGTAGTAGTAATAGTTTATTAATAATTAAATATTTTTTTTAATTATCCATTTATTTTTAATATATTTTTTTGTTGTAACCAGAATGGTACTTTACATACATTTTAACTGCTATCCGTGAACATTCACCATTTTTACAAGAAGTTGTTCAACCAATCTTGGATAAAGCAAATTTTCAAAAATACCATGCTAAAGTACTTGAATAATTTTTTCAATTAAATAAATAAGTTTTGTTTTTGATTTTATTTATATTAATATTTCTAATACAATTTTATTATTATTTTCAGAATGAGTTTATATGTTCTTTACTTGTTGTAGTTACAAACAAATTAACTCTTAGTATGCCCACATTACTAAATTCACCACAAGTATTCTCTCACACAGTGTTTGAAACATTACAACATGATCAAACTCTTTGTGAATTACATATGTATGTTCCACCAGGGAAAAAAGAATGGAAGGGATGTGTTGATGTTTTCACAGGAAAAAAAGAATGGTTTAAAGCATGGCTCAAAGTTGAAAAAAGCTGTAGGTTTTATATATATATTATACATATATATATTATACATAATATTAAAATGTTTTCAAATGAAAACGTAACTAATTATTTATATGTTAGTTGCTGAGGCTCGTTATGATGAGATAATGCATTCTGAAGATGCATGGGAAATAGAGGATGAAGATGGGGCGGAAGATGAATTTAAGCCTACAAAGTCTGCAAAAAAATTGATGAATTTATTGGAATTAGTTACAAGTATTTATTACAATAATAATGTTTTCTGTCAACTTTATATATATCAATATTTATATATATAATTTTATTCTAGGTCGTTATAAATTGTTGCCTTTGTTTCATAACCGTATACGATTTCTTGTTGATATTCAAGCTGAATTATTAATATCGTATGCACATAGGATTGATTCTGCTGTTGATGCATTTGAAAATTTGGGGTATTCGTTTGTAAGGGCTGTTCCTAACACTTCTAGCACTGAAGGAAAGTTTACTAGTAGTATTGAAGGCTTGAAAAGGTTATGTAGGTGGTTGAATAGTGCTGGATACGTAAGCCGAACAATTAAAGAATGGGGTGAAGATGCGGTAAGAATGTAACTATTATACAAACAAACTTTTGAGTTATTAAATTTGTGTACAAACAAAATTATGATTATTAAATTAACTATTCTCTTTTTCAAGTTTTTTCTTGAATTATGGCATGAAGTGACAGTACGTGCAGCACGAGATACTGGCACATCTCCATTATCCTCGCCAACATTTCCTGATGGTATTACTGATAAATCATCTGCAAACAAAGTAGAAGTACAAATAACTGTTGATGAAGGAACTGTTTTTGATGATCCGGCTGGCTTATTTGATCATTCTTTTGAAAGAATTCAAGCAATAATAGTAAAAAATGTTTCCAAAGAATTTTTGAATGGATTGAAAGTTTATAGTAAAAAGTATTAATTATTATCTTTACTAAATTGCAAACTGATTGGTCATTGTTCAAGCCAATAACTTGTCTTTTTCATTTTAGCAGTAATAATAATAGCAATACTGTTCTTCTTGAATTATCACCGGATCTTTATGCCCCTCTTTCTGATCTTGCACAATCATTTAACTTTTTATCGAATAATCTACCAACAAGAATTTTCAAATTAATATTCAAAGAAGTTTCTGAGGAATTGCAGGGTTACATTTGGGATCGTATTCTTATGCGAAACCAATTTTCTGAAATGGGCGGATTCCAATTTAAAGCTGATATGGAAAAGGGATTATTCTTTATTGGGAAAAGATGGGTGAAAAAACCAGAAAATTATTTCAAGAGGTATTTCATTCATTCATCTTTTTTTTCATTTTTAAATGATCAATTAGCCATAGAAATCAACTTTAACATTTATAATTGCTGTTTTTTCTCCCTTTTATTATTAACAGGATAAAAGAAGCTTGTATTTTGTTGACCCTTCCATCTAAAAAGAATATTAAGCCGACAGTTAATCATGATAACAATGATGAAGACAAAAGATCAAAACAAAACTCATTGTCATATGTGACTTCAATACTTTATAATGAAGAAGTAGAACCTATAGAGATAACTAGAATGTTGGAAAATCTAGGTATTCATCATCTGTCAGCTAAAGAAGCAAAGGATATTGTTGAAAGAAGAATTGAATGTTGGAAATAATAAAATAAAAATGAATTTTAGTGGGCAAAGAATTTTAATAATTTTGCATTCAAAGCTTAAAAATAAAACCTTTGACCATTTATTTATTTAAAAATAAAATTCTAATTTTTGTACTTTGTGCAATTTGTGAGATAACGGTAAATCAGTTGATCGATGATCATTCATATCAATCAATATAATATTAATATTAATAAAAAATTCCGAATTGGTTCCAAAATATCTCTCTATTATTATCATTATCTTTATAACAAGTTCAAACATCATAAAATAAATTGAGTTACCAATGCATCCATTCTCTCTTACATTGAAAGAGGCTCTCTATGTAAAGCTATAGTTAGCATTATTTCAAAACTAAGGTTTTTATCCAATATTACCTATGATTGGTGAAGGAATGAATCAAATTTGGTGGTGATTCTCACATTTCCGAACCTTCAAAAATTAGTCCGCATTCTGCAATAGGTGAATTTTTCATCGGAAATTAGGGTGATCTATTTCAATGTAATTTATTATTATTTTTAATTCAAGTTGTTTCTCTAGATCGGTGGGCTAAGATAACAGTAAATTTCATCATTACGACTCATTTTCAATGAGATGATAAATCCATTCAATAGGGAAATACACATACTTCATAAACGAGCACCATTTGGCCTTTGGACCCTTTTTTTAAACCTTATTATTATATCATTGTGTCTCAACATTAAACACGAGTATTTTTAATGCGTAAACTGGTCAGCAAAATGATAATTAACTCTAAAAAAAATTTATTTGCATCGCTAAAAAAACTATTTTACTGTTGAACAGCCCGTCAAACCAATGGCCCCACCTCAAAACCAAATGGGTTTTTTGCTAGTAGTATGCATAACATTATGATCATATCGTGCTGAATTTTGGGGTTGCATATGCATTTACGTTATAGTAAGTAAAAATTTTCCCGACTTGTTTACTATTATAGTAATAACAATAACAATAAGGAACAATAGCATTGATTAATTATTTCAGAAAAATAGAATTTACTGATCAACAAAAAATAGATACACAAACCTGAACTATGTAAATATAAACAAAATTTTCCTCGGGAAAAATAAACCTGATTTAATTAACAAGGACTTAACTCATATTAATATAAATATGATGTACTTTTACCAAACAAGATTAAAAAGAATTTTTAGAAAAATCCAACTTATAAAAAAAAAGTGGAAATTATGATTATACTAGTTGAGATCATAATCATTGTTATTATAAAAAAAGATATATGCAATAATAATATATCCAACAATAATGGTTGTCAAAAAAAAGCAAAAGATTGTATATACAATAATAACACTACTTACGAATGTAGACGGGTTGGTGGTAATGGCGGTAGTAAAGTGATAAACAAACAGACACATAACGGTATTAAAATGATAAAAAAACGTTCGCATGATGGTAGTATTGCAACAATATACAGAGCTGAGGATACAAAAAATCACTATATTTCCTGAAACGAATGATCAAACATATAACTTCGATTCATTAATGCGTGCCATATAAAAACTTTAGGCGGACAAACAATATAGATATTATATTTTTTATCTTCTATTATTATTATGTAATATTAATATTAATTATCATCATGTAAAGATATTAAAACTATTTAAAAGGGAAATTGACCCTTTGTAATATTGTAACTATCATTGATGATGTTGTTGTTGTTGACGACGTCAACGTTATCAACAAAAAGGTCAACTAAAATAAACGACTAAACTTTTTTTTTGAACAACTAATAGTCAACTAATAATACTAATAATAATAATAATAATAATAATAATACTAATGTTATTATTGTCTGGCCAATTACAATTTTTGTGTTTTATCATTCAAAATGGAAAATTTTTATGCGGAAAACTATCAATGCCATCAATATGACATGATGATGACGACAATAGTAGTGTGTTGTTGATGATAATTTTACATGTGAATGAATAAACACTTCCAATACAAGGCCCAATAATTCATTGGCTTCAAGTTCCAATGATTTAAGCGGTGGTTTCAGAAGACCTTTAAAAAAAACGAATCGTAACACATGGTTTTGTGTGGAAGTATTTTGAAATGAATTCGTAATTTACAAATTAAAAAAAAAAAAAACGAAATATTATTATTATTTGTTATAAAAAAAAATCTAGTCGACTAAGGATTTTTTGGACGATTCCAACCTCTAGATTTATCTAAATATTGATCGCTTGAATTTCTTCTTCTACTACTTGAGCAGTTTCCGGATTCAAAGTTTTCTTCTGATCGATTAGTAATCGTTTCAACTAAATTCGAACCATTTGGTCTTTCAGCTTGTTCAGTAGATTTATATAGATTTTGATTATTTGTACCCATTGAAATTCTATATTAGGGATATTTTCTGTAATCAAAGAAGATTCACGATTTTCTATTATCTTAAGTGTTTAAAGTTCATTGATTTCTTTGGCCTTCTAAGCAGTTCTAACGATTTATGGGTTCTAGATGATTTAGTTTATTTATTAATGGATGCAGCAAGAATTTGTTTTATTGTCTTTTGAAATTATTTTCATCATTTTGTTCAATATTTGAATCATTAAAAATTGATCCACAAACCTTCATGTAATTAATTGTAGCTCTTCGACCAATCTAAACAATTTTATAATTATTAAAAGAAGAATAAGGACTTATTTATTATCTACGAGAATATATACTTATATTACGTAGTGGTTGTATCCGCCGAATGATATTCACCGATTATCCGGTTAATCGGGTGTTGAAAATTTTCACCGGATAATTGGAATAATCTGTGGTATATACAGAAATCAGCATGACGATAAAATGATTGAGTCATGTGATTTTATACTCCCGTGACATCAAAGAGTATCATTGGAAGTGACGCAGCATTTGATGGCGCGCACTATAATATGGTTAGATAATTCGATTAGAGAGCTTTCTAGGAATCGGAAAACAGCTATTTTAACTTTCCTCGAAATAGACAAAGAAACATATGGTAATTGTTTAATGTGTTTCTAATAGAAAGATTCGTCTTCAATTGAAAAGATCCACCTGTATGTTAGGTATATTCGATGACTTATCACATTACGCACTGTATTAAGATTATTTAATATTAGCTATTAATTATTTTGATATTACTCTTTCAACACAGAAGCAAACCTCTGTAATCGGATGATAACTTGGAGTTGGTGAGTAAATATGTGGCGAAGATTGTATTTTTTATATTTAATTCATCAGGAAAATAAATCTTACATAAACCTACGTAGGGTTCAGAATTGGCCAGCATTATGTCGATATTTTGGTAATTCTGTTAACATTTCCGCATAATGCTGGTCAGTTTTAAACCCTGCGTAGGTTTACATGAGATTTATTTTCCTGATGTTGTTTGCTAAATCATTTTTACACGACATCATTTTTTACTGCATACTGATACTGATCTTATTATTATATTAGATGATTTAATTTGAAACAAAAAACATATTGGAATTGGTGACAAAGATTGTAAATTTTATACAGTATAACCCTCGTTTCAACGGAGTGACTGGACATATAAGTAATTTTCATATAAAATCCGTTGAAACGAAATTACTAATTATAATACTAATCACGTTTCAACGGATTTTATAACAAAGATTTTAACGCGAATTTAATTATAATCCGTTGAAACAAGGGTTATACTGTATTTAACTGTTTATTAAATCATTTTTTCATTTCTTATGTTTAATATTTATTAAATAGCTTTTACATAACATTGTTTTTTAACAGATATTATTTTGTTATATTTTTAGATGATCCAATATATCAAACATCAAGCATTCAATTAAAGGGTTGGCAGATAAATATGAGGCGAGGAATTAATTTGTTTTACATGTTCATACCATACATAAGTCGAAATGGTCAAAATTATGTCATGACAAGAAGATTGTTTTAAACTATATATATATATATATATATATATCAAAATTATTATTAATTCACATGATTTTTTTTTTTTTGATAGATAAAAAAGTAAAAATGGGCCCAAAAGAACATTATTAGAAGAAAAGAAAAGAGATTGCCAAAAAATCCACAATATATTGATAATTTTGTATTTGGTAATTTAGATTTAGTAGCGAAAACCTTATTATCTATCACATTACACACACACAAATCATTTATAAGAACGGATATATAATTATTATTTATCAAATAGTTGTCAATACAGAATATTTTAATAATGAAAATAAATGATTTTATTTATTTTCTTTCAATTTTATATGATACAATAAAAATAAATTACATAAAATGGATTATAATAATATATAAAAACAGATACATGTACATATATATATATATATTTATTCCATGAGAATTAATTAACAGCAGTACCAGCAAGGGTCAATTCACGTGCAGCAGCATTTCTTTTAACTGAAGCTGCCCAACCACTCAAATCAGCATTTATTCTTCTACCGAGTGTACCAAGTGCAGTTTGTAAATTGACAGCAACTTCCTGGAATTTTTGATCGGTTGCTTGACTAGATGATACTCTGAGCGCTATCAACAATGCTCTTCTTAATGTTTCTCCTACTTGAAGTAAAGTCTGAGCATCGCTTCTAATTGCTGGGTTTCTTTCCAAGTTGAACACATCAACAAGTACATCATACATAAATCCACTGAATACCTTCAAATTGATCCGTCAAAGAATGGATCTGCTACTGCAAATTATGATTTAAAAGATCCAAGAAAATTAGTCTATGCATTATTTGATTATGATCAAAACATTTACCCAAGGTAGTTAAACATTTATAACTAATGGATTATTTAATTTTATCATATTCTCTTCCTAACCGCACACATATTCTCGTATTTATGTAATAATAATGTAGGAGTGCACAATATTTAGCATCAAGATTACATCAAACATCCTTGGTTTCCGCAGCCCCACCAGCTGGTAAAGGTACAAGAGTAAATGTATGGAAAGCCGATCCTTTCGTTAAATCAATCGGTATCAGAGCGCTTTACTTTCCAGGATCCGATATCACTACCGGTCCAACCGATTCATTGTTAACCACCAGTTCAACTTCTGGACCAATTGCTCCAGATGCAAATGGTGATATCCTATTGGATTTTATTGAAGACAAATCTCAAAATCCGCCACCATCACCTCAACAAGTCAAATTTGATGTTGTGCACACTTTCTCTGTTGTCAAATATACGTACAGTTTACTCAAAGGTGATATCGAGTATCTTGATGGCAAACCACCAATTCTTCCTAGACCATGGGGAAACAAAAAATTAGTAATACACCCACATGCTGGAATCGATGCTAACGCATATTATAGTAGAGAGGAGGGAGTGTTGAAATTCTTCTATGAACGAAGACCAGGACAAACTCCAATATATCTTTGTCGATCACTTGATGTTGTGGCTCATGAGACAGGTCACGCCTTCCTTGATATAATACAACCGGGTTGGTTGGCTGATGGTCAGACCGGAGCTCTTCACGAAGCGTTCGGTGATTTGTGTTCAATGTTTGTCATTATTTCAATGCCAGATTTGGTAGATAATTTGATCACTCTTACAAAATCAAATCTCAGAGACACTAATAATTTCTTATCAGCTGTTGGTGAAGAATTTGGCGAGTATTTGTACAAGAATAAGGGCAAAGGTTTAAGAAACTTAATAAATGATATAAGAGGTTCGACAGCTGAAAGTGAAGTACATGCA